ATCCCTGGGGGTGGCTTGCTGGCACCTGTGCATCCCTGGGGTTGGGCCTGGGAGGCAACAGCCATTTCCCATTCTAGCCGGAGCTTTCTGGTCTCGGGCCTGCTGAGACCTGTGTCTGCCACCACAGACGAGCCCAGCTTCTGCCGCTGCTCCTTCCATGTGTGAGACCACGAGGCAGGGTAAGTCCTCATCCCCTAAGCTGCAGCTGCTCCTCCACGACTTCCAACCCAGCACGGAAGCCCTCACTGCCAGGGCTGTGGGCTGAGTGTCTCCCGTCTTCTGAGGGGATATGTTAGGACAGGGTCACTAAGTGGATCTGGACTCTACCTGTCATCCCCACAGACAGAAGAGGCTGGGCACACAAAAGTCACTGGGAATCCGTGTATAAGGATGAGGCAGACAAAAAGCAGCCTGCTCCACGGCCAACAGAGAGGCCTCAACCTCCTGGCACCAGAGCCGTTCTTTCTGTGAGTCGCGGCCAACTCCGAGGAAACCGGCGCTCTAATGGTTAACATGGTGCCCACAAGAAGAAGACAGGCACTTTGTTCTTGCAAAGGTGCCTGGAACACACCCCTCTGGCTAAGGGGTTTCTGCTGTGACTCGTTCTTCAGCAGTCGCTGAGTCGCTGATGGCTGTGGAAAGCCACACTCTCTGTCGGTTGCTGAATCCAGTCCTGCTGATGTTAGCGCTTGTTATGGTTTCCGTTAAATTGCCTGGTGAGCGGGTGTAATGAGGGGCAGTGGTGGAGGGGGGCCACCAAGGACGCAGGGGGTGCAGGTCAAAGGAGGGGAACACTCAAAGGTCACCATTCCCTGAACACCGGCTTACTTTGTGTCTTCAGAGGAAAATCACAGGTCCCCAACAGCTTCGCCTCAGACAGCAGCCGGGGACAAAAAGCAAGTCCCAAGTGAGGGTCATGCTGCAGAGTGTCGTAGTATTTTATACAGACTGTACACGCTCTTACTAAGTCACTTAGCAGTTACTCTTGTCTAAAATACTTAAAAAAAAAAAAAGAAAAGAAAGGAAAACCAGTGGCAAGAGTTTAAGAACTTAGTTTCTAAGGATTACCTTTTGGCTGACTCTGGTGATCTTTGCAGGCTCTACTCTATACCAAAGGGGGAAATGCTACCTGCACGCTCACTCATTAGCTAGAGAAGATAACAAGAGACGTCGGTGACAGGAGGTCTACACACGCCCTGCATTAAATCAGACACATGGGCTGCGAGGTAGCATTCAAACTGAAATCCTGTCTTTAACAGCCAGGTTACTGGAGGAGGGAAAGTCGTTGTTTTCAAAAGTGCTTGCTACAAAGGAAGTAACCCAGACCAGACCGCGAGGCAAACGGAAGGCAAGCGGGTGACACGTGGGGTGGCAGGCCAGAGTGGCAGGCAGTCACCAACCACAGGTGCGCAGGACGGCTGTGTCCCACGGTGCCCACGGGCTTGGAGCCAAGCGAGGGCGCTACAGCCTGGGTCCTCGGTGCCCTGCAAAGGCACAGCTAAGGGTGGCTCTGTGGGGAGGAGCTGGACCCTGGCCATTCCCCTTAGGCTGCTTTCTGGCCTTGAGTTAGTGGCTTTGCTCTACTGTGCAGCTCTCCCCATCGCTGCCATCCAGCACCCCACCCCCCACAAGAGAAAAACAGGTCGCCCTGATCAGAAATGCGGCTGCTAAAACTGGAGATGAAAGCGAGCTTTCTCCTTACAAGCTGAGTATTTTGGGTATTTTCTTATAGTCACAGAAAGCTGACAAAGAGAGATGCATTTAATAATGAAAACCCAAAGGGTCATTTGGTTTTTTGTTTGTTTGTTTGCCAATCCTAAGTTTGTATGCACCTGATGAATCTGTAGCTTCAAGACTGTACAGAGCAAAAGCCGGCAGAACAGGAGAACGAGCAAACTGGAATCACGGCTGGGAGTTTAAACACGTTTCTCTTCACACGGGAAGTCCCTCCGGCTGTCTGTCCGCAGGCTGATGCTGCCACCCCTAGCTCCGCTGATTCTCAGGTCTTCAGACTCTTGTGGGGTCACACCACACCTGTCTGGGTCCCCTGCTGGCGGGACACCAGGTGTGTCTCCACAGGACACCTCTACCTGCACAATCTCCGTGGATCTGTTCCTCTGGGTCTGTTCTCTGAACAACCGTGCAGACTACTGAGTCCTCTTCGGTCCTGCCTGCTGCCCTGGGTTTACTGCCTTCTGCTCAAACCAGCGTCACCGCTGGCTCACGGCCGCATTGTTCTGCTAAAAGTCACCTGCTCATGTCCTTCACTCACGGCAATAACCACGTGGCAGTCACATATTCTGAAGTAGCCTCCAGCTCTCACGGAAATGCATTCTGTTTTGTGCTCCTGTGACTTGGTGGATGAATGGTGGAAAGTCTCACGCACTCCAGGGCAGGAGAGAGCAAGAACAGCAGGCTCCCAATCCCCTTCTAAACCGCATCTCTGTGAGCGAATGCTGTCCCTATGTCCCATCCCAGCACGCAGGAGCAGCAACAGCGCTGGCACCTTCCCAGGCTCTGACCCCGGGCCACTGAGCTTTGCCCATTGCATCCCACTGGGGCCTGGCCTGTGGCTGGTCTGTCACATACTTGATGGTCCCTGAGTGCAAGGCGCTCTCAAGGAGGACTAGAAGAGTATCTGCCCCATGCCATCATCCCTCGGTACCTGCAAGGAAATGGTCCCAGGTACCTGATGTAGCATCTGAAAATAACCTACGCACATCCTCCTGAATTCCCTAAGTGCCCATGCTGGCTCGTGGCTTTTCAGCCAGGCAGACAGTGCCTGATGGTGGTACCCAGACACATGGCCACGCTCCTTGGTCCTGTCACTGGATGATACTAAAATAAGATAAGGCTCAGTAAGTCCTAGGGTCAATTCCGGACTGCTGTCCTGCACACAGTACCGGTGAGCTGCTGAACCAGGTTCAGGCAGGGGGGCAAAGTCCCTTTTCCCAGGTCAGGGCACAGATGAAAGTCAATACTAAAATGGGACGGTATGTACCAGCACACCCAGGCGCAACCCCTGACCTCCGGCTTCATTAGACCCACGCTTCTGGGTCGGGAAACATCATTCAGTATCAAACCACAGGTTCAACCATCTGTACCCGTGTTTCCCAATTCTAGGGGGAAATGAAAACACACTTCCTGGCTGAGGTCATCTCACCTCTGGCCAGGTTTTCCTATGCAATGTCCCCAGCGTGCTCTAGCGACTGACTCTGAGACATTAATCTACAATTATAGGAAAACCTGGTGGCTTGACTTGGTTAGCAGACAGGAGCCCGTGGGTGGGGCCGTGCGCCTAGGTCCACGGGAAGGGAACATGGATAGGGACTGTTCTGTTGCTCACCCGTGTTCACGGCACGGAAAAAGAATGCTTGCGTGCTCCTCCCGGAGACAAGCTCAACCCTCCCCTGCTATGTGTCTACAAAATCTGCCCCCTACTTCCTGGAGCTGATGGTCTCCACCTTGCTAGTTCCCTAAAGCTCATTAGAGGATGAACTCTGAGAAACCTGATCAGAGGGCGGCACAACAGGGACACACCCATTTTCTGGTAAAAATGCCAAGTAATGGTAAGCTCCAGTGTTTCAGCCTAATTCTCGCCGGCCCCCACCCAACTTCCACCTGTTGACGGCACCTGAAACTGCCGGGCCAGGGTGTCCCTGTATGATTCCCTCAACACACCGGCCGGGCCGTCTGGAGACTCACTCTTCCATGTGGGGAGTTAGGATGCACTGTTAGGCAAGGCAGATACACCTGCCATTTTCCTCATCACTAACAGTGGCACTCAGCAGCCCCGACTGGCTGAGCCTACTTCCTGGAGCAGTGAACTATCTGCAGGAGACAGGAGTGACCGCCTACCTTACAGGACGCTCCCCACTGCTGCAGGGAGTCCAGAGGGACTAGGCTTCGTAAGCAGATGGAAACGGTCTGGAATGCTGAACTAGGTCCTATCTGCCCTCAAGGGCAGAGCAATGGTTTATGCCCCAGGGTGACCAATGCCCCAGCCAGACCCAGAGTTCTACAGTAAACAGGAAGGCAGGTTAGTGTCCACTCACTTTGAAGTTCTGGAATCAGAAGGGAGGGGAGGGGTTAAGTGCTCTTCCACGTTTATTCAGCCTCGAGGGCAAGCGACAGAGATGTTCCCTGCAGACTGACAGTTTTAGCGGGTGTCTCTGCTGGCGCTTGGACCAGATGTGGACCTCCTAGGACAAACGAAAAGCAGCTGAGCAGATGAAGGGTCTGGGCTGTCACCCACAAGGGGCAGCAGAGCCACAAGCAGACCACGGGGAGAGAACTATCTTGTAGTCTGAGAAAAATGGCATTCTGCCGCAGCACAGGGGCCCGTGGGCCCCTAAAGTGTAATGTGGGGGTGTCTCAGTTTCTTTTCCTGTCGCTAAGATAAAACCCTGACAAAAGCAACTTAAGGGAGGGAGAGGGTCACGGTCCAACATGGTGGGGCGGCCAAGGTGACAGCGGCTTCAAACAGCTGCTCACATCACGTCCACAGCTGGACGCAACCAGGATCCCAGTCAGGGAGTGGCGCCACCCACAGTGGGCGGGGCTTTCCACCCCAGTTAACATAGTCAAGATAATCACCCACAGGCATGCCCAGAGAACCTCACCCAGGTGACTCTGGATTCCACAAGGTGACAGTTGACACTGGCCGGCACAGGAGGCACGGAGCAGGACACAGTGCAAGGGACTGGAAGTGGACAGTGACAGAAGCAGCCAAATGCTTGAAAAAGAAAAACTGTAGGTTCCAGTTTTCAGACATGCTCCCCAGGCTTCAGAGTCCTCTTTAGGAAATAAGGAGTGTCCCATGGATCCTGGGGGTTAGACACAGGACCAGCCAGGACAGCAAGGAGTGTAAGAGCATGCACTCTGAAATAAGACAATGGGGGTTCGTAGCCGCCCCCTAACCCTGCCACTAACACCAAACAAGTGACCCTCCCTCGAGAGGCTGAGATGACTCCACCCAGAGAATTGGGAAAAGCTCAGCGGACACGCTGGGAGGCAGGAAGCGAAAAGGGTCATCTAAGAGGAAGGAAAAGTAACTGAATGTTGAGGCTCTACACGCCTCAAGGCTTTTCCCCATCACAGAAGCAAACTAGAGCAGCAGCAGCTGGAAGAGCAGAGCCCAGCCGAGGGAGACCCTTCAGCAACGCCAGGCCTGCCAAGAGCGCGCAGCCCTCACTCACTCAGCACCAATCCCCGGGGAGCGAGCAGAGCTGGGCGCTGCAGGTGGCTGCCGCTGAGGAAGGGGGACCGGGTCCCTGCTCACCCAGGATCTGACTTAACTGGCCACAGGTAGGCCATCACACAGGCTCTGCTGCCTGCTAGGGGCTCAGTGCATGGTGCATCGTGGGAAGGACACAGTGCAGGAAAGCTGTTCGCCTTACGGAAGCCAGGAAGGGGAGGAAGGGTGGAAGGAGGGGAGGGGGCGGAGGATGGGAGAAGGAAGGGGAGGAAGGAATGGAGGAAGGGAGAGAGAGACCTAAGATTCCGAGCATACACCAGCACGCCTGCTTTCCTCTCTTATCCCGTCACACGGACTCACGAAGGTCAGTGTCCCCAGTCAACGCTCACTGCCCTAGGATACACTAATAGATTTAGAGCAGGAGAACCCAGGAACAGACCCCACTGCAGAACAGGCCTTAGGATAAAGGACAGCCAGGAACAGACCCCACTGCAGAACAGGCCTTAGGATAAAGGACAGCCAGGAACAGACCCCACTGCAGAACAGGCCTTAGGATAAAGGACAGCCAGGTTCAGGACCTGAGCCACAGTCGGGGGACTCTGCTTACCAGCTCTACCTTGGGACAGAGTGAGGTGACTCAAGCTAAAAATTCAATACTTGCACAAACACTTGGGCCAACCCAGCCTCGAGACAGAAGTCGGTGCAGTGCAGGTCTGTTTGCTGTGCTGTTTGCTGGTGTGCAAACACGGGCCAGGGTCAGCATTCACACATTGGAAAGGGGGGGGCACGCATGTGGCGGGGTACAGAGACCCTGTGTTGAAAAACCAAGGGGGAATGAAAGCACTAGAAGCAAATACTCGCTGCACACACAGGACAAAGGAGCCATGTCGCATCTGAACTACAAACGGAGCAAAGAATAAGAGGTCCTGTGAGGCGGCCATCACCAGAGAGCCACGGGGCCAGGTGGAGAGACTATCTGTGAGCTCAACGAGAACGCACCGATTTTCTTCATATATGAACATAAATAAACAGCGCTCTTAACAAATTCTTAGTCACAGGCCAAAAACGCACCAGAAAAACGGTAAATGACATAAGCCATTTACAGAGACAATGCAACAAATGACCAAGGAGTCTAAGATGGGACACACTACTTAAAACAAGGAGGTATCCTTTTCCATCTGTCAAAGGCCCAAAATGGCAAGGGACGGGATTCCACGTGATGAAGAGCAAACTAGCATAGGCTGTCACACAGTCATCCATGCCTCCTGCCTCAGAGATGTGTTTACACACAGACAGACGCGTTTACACACACAGAGACACATTTACACACAGACATGTTTATACACAGACAGACACGTTTACACACAGACACGTTTACATACAGATAGACAAGTTTACACACACAGACAGACATGTTTACACACACAGACAGATGCACATTTACACACACATGGACAGACACATTTACACACAGAGACAGATATGTGTTTACACACATAAAGAGAGACATGTTTACACACATAGACAGAGACACATTTACACACATAGACAGAGACATATGTATACACATAAACAGAGACACGTTTACACACATAGACAGATCTGGGTTTCCACACAAAGAGAGGCATGTTTACACACACACAAACAGAGACATGTTTAGACACACAGACAGAGGCACGTTTACACACATAGACAGAGACATGTTTACACACATAAAGAGAGGCACATGTATACACATAAACAGAGACAGGTTTACACACAAAGAGAGGTGTGTTTACACACACAGACAGAGATGGGTTTGCACACATAAAGAGATGCGCATGTATGTGAGAATTTGCTGAGCACAATGCTGTGGTAGGAGAAAGCTCCCTAAAGCGCTACATGCTCATCAGTGGGCAGGGCTGGTCTAAGGTGGTTGTGTCATGGCGGAACCCCAGGCAGCCAAAGGAACGCAGGGTGCAGGCCACCACACGGGAAGACAGGCAGCTGAACAGTCTTGTCACAGCACTCCACAGCTTGTAAACATAGCACACGGTTCCAGTCACTACTTATCTCTACCCACTAGACTCCCAAACATGCATATAAACAACACACGACGCGTCCCAGACGCCACCTCTGAGGAAGGAGGTAAGAAAAGACCAAGTGGGGGTTTAGTGAATGCTTGTAGTTTTCTTTTTACGACGACTTTTGTAATTACCGAAATGGCGGCAAGGGACAGGACTCCATGACTAAACAAGTGCAGTGTCTACGGCTGGCACTCAGCATACAGCTCCCCAAATATCCCACCTAGGGCTACCAGTTATCTGTGCGGCCAGCAGGGGGCGGCAGGACTAACAGCTGGAGGACGGCTGTCTGCTGACGAGTTATGGGGGCCCCGGGAACTCAGTATGGACGCACTGTGCCAAAGGAGTTGAAAGGACTGACTCGCTCAACTGCGAGCGCAGCGAGGCTTGCCTTGACGATCTCGAGCCAGCACACGCTGAGGATGGCAGGTCGCCTTCCCTCAAACAGCCTCCTGCACGCCAGCGCAGCATTCAGGGGTAAAGGGTCACGGCGGCGTTGGCCTTCCGAGGACCAGGCGTGTTAGAAGACGCCCAGCGGAGGCTGGGGGCCAGCAGGAGAGGTGGGGGTACAGCAGAGATGATTCTGAAGAGGTGTTTGCCTCCTAAAAGGAGAGAGAAGGGGTGGAAGGAAGAGAAAGGGACGAGAAGAAAGAGAGGGCCAAGAGGGAGGAGGGACACTCCACATGACATTAGCGATCACCTAATTGAATTTGTTTTCAAGTTGTACTAGGGACCCTAGGATTTGTTATCTGCAATACTTACTGACTGACGCATCACAGTTCACGGGGTCTCTATATCTATCTGTGTTCACAATACCTTTTTTTTCTTTTTGGTTTTGTCGAGACAGAGTTTCTCTGTGGCTTTGGAGATTGTCCTGGAACTAGCTCTTGTAGACCAGGCTGGTCTCTAACTCACAGAGATCCACCTGCCTCTGCCTCCTGAGTGCTGGGATTGCAGGTGTGCGACACCAACGCCCAGCTTACCTTTTTTTTTATGTGCTTTAGTTCATAATTTGCTATCAATTTTGGGGCAAAGTTCATTTCACACTAAGTAGCCTTTTAACAAAGTCCCACTGGGCGGTGGTGGAACACACCTTTAATGCCAACACTTAGGAGGCAGGTAGATCTCTGAATTCAAAGCCAGCCTGGTCTACAGAGCAAGTTCCATGACAGCCAGGGCTACACTGAGAAACCATGTCTTAAAAACCAATCCAAACTAAAAAAACACAAAATACTGAAGTCCCCAAATTGTAGTTTATTCTAGGTGTTTCCGAGTAACAGGTGATTCTAGCCTGTACATCTTACTTTTGGGTGTTTGGAAACATGTAGGCCTGCCTCTCTCTCTCTCTCTCTCTCTCTCTCTCTCTCACACACACACACACACACACACACACACACACACACACACACACACACACACACACACACACACACGCTTCCCCCCCTCCCTTAGAGCTGCAGGTAGTCCTAGGAAAACAAGGGTTACCATTTCATGGACTTAAAAAAGCCATACTTGTTGGGTGTGGTGGGACAGTTTTAAATCCTAGCTTTCAGGAGGCAGAGGCAGGCGGGCTGTGAGTTCAAGACCAACCTGGTCTAAGTAGCAAGTTTTAGATCAGCCACAGCTACATAGTAAGACCCTACCTAAGGGGGGAAAGGTGTTATTTTTCATTTTTATGGTGGTCTTATTCCCACTGTTCCACCAAAAACAAAAACTTGTTAAATACCTGCAAGCAGCAAGCCCAGTCATCTCTGCATGTACACTAGTTATAATAAAACTCAGATCCACGCTATGCATCTGCAACACATCTGGCATCATTCTCCGAGCTCCCTGCTAGCCCCTTTCACCCTGAGCAGGCCCCTGGGGGCACTGTCACAGAGCAGCTAAGCTGCTCCCCAAAAGTGACATGGCCAGCAGCTGGTGACCTGGGCTTAGAGTTCTGGCTGACTTGTCTCGTGGGCTCAGCCTCTCCTTTCCACATGGTGTGGCCCCTGAGGTGACACTTCTGGCTGAGGAAGGGACTCACTGTAAGGAAGGATGGGTTCCAGCGTGTGGCCACGTGCATCTTTATCATAGCCCTGCTCCATGAGAATTAACCAGGTGAGTAACACGCAGCTGGAAGCCCTCGCGTGGGAGAGCCTGCCCAGGTGATCCCGGCCCTAATGGTAGGGGAAACAAACATCAGGTGTGGACCAGCACGGAACCAAGGGGACATAGTCACTGGCGGTACAGTGAGGGCCTCACAGGGACCGTGTCAGCATTTGAGAAGTGGCTCCCATCTCCGTCATTATCGCAAACGCCACCACGACAGTTCCCCCAGCATCCCAGTGGCCACACACCCATGGCCACATACCATCCTGCCGGCTTTCCCACCAGACCCTGGTTGAGCCCTCTAACCTGAACACCTGAAATGCTTTCATTGGATTTCTAAGGCTGTTCAGCTGGTAAAGCCATGCAAACACCCCAAAGTCACAAAAGCTCCCAGCTGGGCCTCAGCTACCTGCGGGCCCAAGTATTTCAGCTAAGAGAAACTCCTCACAAGGAGGGGACTGCTTGGGATCCCAGGTGACACTCTCTGCCCCAGCGGCTGAGATTCATTCTAGTGCACATGGCCCCTGCAGTCTGTCCCCTGCCCAGCTGTCCTCTGCACTCACTGCCGGACACACAGCCCTCCACAACAGCCCACCTTCCTCCCCATCTACTCTGAGAGCTCCATCTTGGGTTTACCTGGTCTAAGAAGCTACACACCTAAACAAACAGGCCCGGAATCACTTTCCAACTGTCTGCGGCTGTGCAGGGCAGCCCAGTGATGGATTCTGGCAGTGGCCTGTTTTTAGGAGCTGGCAAATTTTACGGAGCACTGACAATGCCTACCTGAGATCCACAGGTCAGGAAGTCTGAAGGCAGCTGGACCAACCCCTGCCTGCCCGTCCAGAGCGATGTCAGTGTGCTCTGAGCAGGGGAGATGTTGGGAGTTGTTCTTGGGCATCCTTGTGAGTGAGCTGGTCTACATACACCGTCTGCTGACTGATCTGTACGGATAAGCTTGTTCTAGGTCCCCACTCAAGTGAGCAGGTCTGAGCACTCTCTCTGGTGACCCATTTGTGGGCACTAGCGTCCCCTTTTTACAGTAATCAAGTTAGCAACCTGATACAGGACGCTGCTCAGAATGGCCTAGTGTCCCTGAAGTAGTGGACATTCCCACCAGTGACTTCTCTGATATTTTATTGTGGTGGTCATGGTGCTGGTGTGAAACCCAGGGCCTCGCCCATGTCGGGCAAACGCCCTACCTACCGTGGAGCTACATTCAGTTCTAATTATTTATTCTGATTCTTTATTCATGTCATTAAAAAAGCCAAGTTTTCCGAGAGACATTTCACAAACTTGTGCCAGGGGACGGGAGGGTCACTCCACCAGGAGGGCTGGCTCCCTGTTTGGCAAACTCTGTTCTCCAACGATCTCAGTGTCCAATCAGTGGCGGGTTTCTGCTAGGATGGTTTCTCTCCCCTCTGAGGTTGAAACACAAGCTTGTCTTTGCATCTCTTAGCAAGACTGCTCACACTTCCTCTGGGGAGAGGACCGCCTCAACAGTCTTCAGCCACCCTGGGGAAGTTACTCCCCCTGGTGGTGACCATTGAACAGCAGGGGTACTCTGCTCTTCGGCAGACCCTTCTTCCCACGGGCTCCGAGGGTGCCAGGGTCAAACCTCTCCGGGAACTACGAGATTGTGCGATGCTCGCTATTTTTTACAAAGAGAACTCACCTTTGCCTAGAAAGTGAGCAAATGGCAGTGTCTCCCTTAGGTCATCAGAAAGACGGGAAAGGTGGCACACAAACTGAGTTGGAACAAGTGGTGAGACGCTAAATCGACGTACTCAGAGTCGGTTTTGGAATTACTCGTTTTATAATTTACCACCCAGACTGAAAAGGTGTGTTACTGAAAAATACCCCTAGCCCGGAGTGCTGGTGTGCATTTGTAGTC